ACCACAAGGGAAATCCGAGACCTGAATAAAACTTTCCCAGATGACTACAACATTTATTATTTAACTTCAACAGATGGAGCCACCTTAAGAAAGGTCCAAGGAGCTAGATGGAAACCAAATACAGTGAAGGGAAGTTGGGGATGTGGGTGTCAGGTTGTCAGTAATCTGACAGCTATGGTAACTACCCTCTAATCCAGCAGCTCCAGCCATGCTCTCAGCTGACACCGCACGGACTGACTGACAGCTGAAGAGCGGGCACTTTTTACAGGCAAAAGTGACATCCAGTCTATTAAGGCTGACAAGCACAAAGCAGAGATTTGCCCTGAATGGTTTGGTACTGAAGCCTTGTAAAGGGGTTATTTGAAAGGTCTTGGAGAAAGTGTCAGACTTGAGCTCAGATGATAACAATATTGTAATGATAGCACTGGACAATGAAGCGCTATGATTGCCCGTATGGGCCAGGAAGATTGTGCGTGGAGTGAGCTCCTCTAGCCACTTTACAGCAGCACATTCTCAAAAGCAAACATGCAACTCTTCTAAGATGACTTTTTATCGCTGTCTTAAATATGAGGGTTTTTGAGGTGTGTAAATGACATTTGTACACTTGTTATTTTTGCTCTGGGTGCAAGGAAGAATTTAACAATTACTGCAGCCTCCTACACAGCACAGGAGTGATGAGTGATATGCTTTTTTATATTCATGGCTTGTAGATTAAAACAAGATGTTCAAACTAATGTGTTTAATACTGAAAAGAAAATTAACAGTAATAATGGAAATAGGAGGATTTTAGTCCAAATACTGACTTTGTTTTTCCTTAGAAGTAATTGAGGAATTTGTGTGCGATACCCAAATATGAAGTCATATTGCACAAAATGGGGCTATTTTTATAAGGAAATATGAAAAGATCTAGTACTAAATAGTAGTTGAGTAGCTTGCTGGTACATAAATTGCAAGGCTCCAGAAGGAATTACAAACATTCATTATAGCAGGGTCTGTATCTACTGTTGAGTCACTTTTAAAAGAAAACCTGTTCCTTATTCAGCAAAGCTCAGAAAAGCTTTAACTTTTCTGCTTTGTTCTTCTTTCTTTTCATATTAGAACGTAACATTTAATGAAATGATGTGAAATTGGTTTTGAATGCAGAATTTACTTATGAGGAAGCCCCTCCAGTTCTGGTTGTCTTCCTCCTAAGCCCCATGACAATTTTTGTTGTGATTTGTCATGTAGCACCTAGAGGTTTGCTTTTAGGCTTGCTGTCCAAACTGGACCTTCAACATTCAGCAGCTTCACCCATCACGTACCATCTCCTTCATCTTAAAGTGATAATTAAAAATCTGAAAAATTATTTTCTCAAATCAAAATAATTCTGTAGCTGCCTTTTTTCTTGATATATTGAAGAAGTTGGGCTTTCTCTCAATAAAATTACTTTATATAGGTCCAAAATATTAATTGATCTAGTCTTGTCTGAGACTCAGCCTTATGCATCTCCTGTATTTGCCTGGGAATCAAAGTTTAGCCAACCAAAGTTAATTTATTAGGTTTAAAAGCAACACAGATTCTAATTGCCAAGAAGCATGTATGGCCAAATCATGGTCACTGCCTACAGAAGCACAAAGGTAGGTGGGGGAACAAAGTCCAAGCCCTGTGTGGGGTCAGATTGCCAGTGGGCAAACAGTCAAGGATGGAGTAATTTCCAGACACTGCTACTGTTTTTCAAATTATCACCTGGAATCAGTACCAGGTGCTAAGGTGAAGAGTTTTAACAGCAATGCAAGTGCACGATTCCCTTGCACAAAGCCCCATGGACTGATGTAGAGTGGTTTCTAGTTGGCTTGAGTTTTTGTATCTGGCCTGTGGTCAGGAGCTGAAAGTCAGAGAGCATAGAGGAGGATGTCACATGCGGACAGGCTACCCAAGACGATGAATTTTTGAAGATCGATGGAAATGGTGGCTCAGCTTTAACAGCTTGTGGTGGTATGGACCATGCACCCAGATTTGCATCCAGCTCCTCCTTGGGTTCCTCAGAAATCTGCCTGAAAATTTGCTGTGCTATGCTGTCTAGAGAGATTTCCTGCTGGATGACTAGGAAAACATGGAAATAGGGGCCTCTGGGGTAACTCTGGTTAACTTCTAGAAATTCAAGTACCCTTGCTTTATATGCTTTATAGCTACTGTTCTTTGACTGGTCTAAATTAATGGTGTCTTACCATCTTGTTGCTCACTGATGGGATTTTTTTTTTTTTTTTTTGCTTATAATATGCAGTGTTATGCTAAACTTTCTGATCCAGAGATTTACAAGCACACCTGAAAGCTTGCTCAGAAATAGCAATTTAATCTCCACCTCTTTTTTTATCCTTGCTCACCTTTTTTTCTCTCCAACAAACCTTTGCTCGCTGTGTGGCACTTGTGCTAGTGACTGTGTGTTTTGCTGCTGCTTCATGATCTAGGCTTTATTTTGTAGCAATTATGGTGCTGTGCCTTGCACAGGGTGCATGAGCAAAGTCCTCAGTGTCAGCAGAAGTGTGTTTTCAGCATAACTTCACACCTTGTTCCAGACATGTGGAAAAGCCGGTCCCTGTGACCAGTGCTCAGAGTGGCCCATGAGAATGAATGTGAACTGGACTGGTCACCTCTGTCCCTCCTGTGCTACCAATGTTAAATCAACTGGCTCGGAGGGGTCCTTAGACCATGGCTGAGGTGTGGACTTCAGTCTGAACTGACACTGTTTCTGTGCTGAAGTCCTTTTTGGAATTGCCATTGGCAGTATGAATTTTCTTCTCCGATTTGTCCGAATAGCCTGTTCATTCTTCCACACTGTATTGATTTCTTGAATGTGCAGGAGACAGGTTTTGGTGGTTGGAGGAGATGAGAGAGCAATGACCAGAGTTGGAGTTTGAGTTGAAATATGCTGTGTGAATACTGAAACTCAGCACTATGAAAAATTCCTGCTACTAAAGAGGAAGTAAATGCAAATAAAATAGGAATACATTGCATCTAGTTACGTATCCTGTGAAAAATGGAGCGAGTACATCTTCACATTCATTTAGCTCTACTAATATATACATCTGCTGTGTCCTGTTGCAGCTGAACTTTGTGGGGTGATGAGAGGAGAATGGATGGAAGGAGAACCCTTTCTCCTTGACCGAAATTTCTCTTTTTTCAGGCTTATGTACTATATAAAATCATATGTGCTTCCAGGAAAATGTATTTCTTTAATCTGTTTAATGTTTTTTTGGTATTATTTTTTCAGTACATTGCCTTTTACTCAGGTCAGCCAAATTCACCTGCAGATTTTATATTTCCAAAAGCAGGACATGAATACATCATTTTTGGCGAGAGTTCAGTAGAAGGAATTATCTGAAACTTGGTGCCAATATATTCATGTATTTGCTGTCCTAAACTAAAAAAAAATTGCTCACTTACTGTCTGGTAGCTATCTGTCATTTACAAAATGACACATTCAATTTAAAACTACTAGGAAACAAAATGTTTAATCAGAGTTTTAGGTGTATTTGCGAACCGTGAATCTCGAAGGCCTAACTACTTCCCCATTACAGTGCAATTTATCTGACAGATGGGGTGGCCCACTGCAGAGGAGACACAAGTGCAAGTCAGCTCTCACCTTGGGCAAGTGACTTTGCTCGTCCTTTGCCCCAGTCATCCGTCTATGGATTGGGAAATAGAGGAATTTCCTCATTTATAGGAAAGGTATTGAGGGGAGAGAAGGACCAAGTGAATTACTTAAATCTAAGAATTCTGTTAGGTTTTTATTACCTGTTCGTGCCAATGATATTAGAAACCCTTGTAAATTTTTAGATGTTAATGTAAAGCTTTATTTTATGATAGGATTGTGATGCTAGTAGTGGGGGAAATGTAATCTTGGTAGGTCAGGAAGCTTGTTTTGGTCTCATGTTATTAGAACATAACCATAAGATATGAGATGAAATAAAAAATTCATTAATAAACATTTTGGCAAAAGCTCTATGTAAGGCTCACTTGACTCCCTCTAGGTCATCAAATGCCATTCCTTTTTGTTTGTTAGATTTTCTTTAGTTATTCATGAAAAACCCAGTGCAACAACAGTCGTGACCTGGAAAAACCCAGTACAACAATAGCCATGACCTGGGGAGTTGGCTATCTAGGTGCAGGGCTTCAGAATGGGATTCATGTGGGCTCCAAGCAGCTCAGGAGCAGGAGAAGGTCCTGACTTGGAGAGGCTTCGTCCTTGCCCCGGCTCTTGGACCTGGAGATGAGTGTGCACTTCTGCACGTGTCCAGAAACCCATCAGACATGTGACAAGGTGGTTCTCAGCCCACCCACCCGTTTCTGCACCTTCATTTTTCTGGAATAGCCAATCCTCTGTGCTGTGCAGGTATTGTTTTAAATTAGAGGTTAATCTGTGTCGGGAAGATAGAAATATTTGATGATAAACAGAAGCTGGTTGCTGTGTATTCTGAGTGTGTTTCAGAAGACAAGAGTTCATTGTAAGCTGTTGTTTGAATCATGCCTACAGACAAGGGAAATGTAAATCTTTATTGCCATCTTTTTTTTTTTTTTTTTTTTTAAACTATATCTTAGTATTTACTGTTAACAGTTGATTTTTATACATGGTAAATGAATCCTGTTTTCCATAGAGTGCATATAGAAAGCCTTGCAGATTAAAATAAAAAGAGCAAGTGACCTCTTAAGACCCAAAAATAAGAATTGAATAACAAACATTCACTCTATCTGAAGTATTTTGCAAATCAGACCACTTTTATTTGGATATACCATTGTTTAACAGCCAGTTTAAATTGGGACCAGCATCCTGATTCTGGACAACATGGCTTTTATTGGAAGCCCCTGCCACTTTTAAACATCTTTAATGCATTTTAAAAATAGAACTGTAAAAACCTGTCAGCAGACTTCAAAGAGGAGACATGTTGTGCCAGAATTAGGAAGCTGGTGCTGATTTTCACTGATGGTAAATCCCAGCGAGTCCTGCTGTCCTGAAGCCCACGATGAGGAGCAGAGGTGCGTGGGACTGGGCAGCTGAGGAGGGGCAGCACCTCTGTGGCACTCACTGTCTTGGAGAAGGGGAAAGTGGAAGATGCACAACAAAAGGCAAGGGTTTTTTGGTTGCTTTGCCTTGGGAGGAGATCCCATTTGCAATGTCTCCTTTGTGGTGCATTGCTACAGGGAAACTGGGGCAGCCCTGCTGACTTTAATTTTGCCCAGCTTGGGACACAAGGTCTTGCACAAGCAGATCTAACACTGCAGCTTGCTGTAGGTGCCACACTACCCACCTGAGCAGAAACGGCTTCAAGAGAGGCCTCTGATGCCTGTGCTGCTCCAGGTGTAGCGGGGTGTGTGAGGCGTGCAGCCAGATCAGGGACTTTGGGTGGTAGGAGATAACCAGGAACAAAAGCAATTGCTTTTTTGTCCCATTCCCCCCCCCAATACCTCTGCTTAATATGGCATATACTGTGCTCCAGTATGTGCCCCTACATAGGGAACTTTTCTAGCAGCAATCTGCAGTGTGTTTAACACCCTTAATACCAGCGTTTGGGAAAGTATTGCTGAAATGCAGTGTTAGAAATCAGTTTGAAATGTGTGTGCTATGACAACTGGTTTATTACTACCTCTAAATAGGCAAAGATGTGAAAGGGATCTCTCCAGTGAGATATCTGCACAGAGCATTCACCTGGGAATAGGCTAATTGCACATTCGATGCCACTGCAAACCCACCTATGCATAACTAAAATGAGCACAAATCTGACAACTGCACTGAATTTTTAAAGAAATTTAAAAATACAGTGATTATGGAGCTCTGGTTCTGAGATGCATCTGCTCAACACTTAAGGCTTTATTTATCAAAGATTCTCTGCGCCAATATTTTGCAGAAATTGTCTTCAAAAGCTTCCAGCAGAATATGAGCTTGCAGTCATGTTAGGAGTGTCTGTAGCTTTTGGCGTAGGTTCCTTCTGATTCCCCTGCTGAAGAAAACTGCATTTTTTGTTATGCGTTAGAATCTTGATTTTAAATCTATAGATGTGTGACATTCTTTGCAAGAAAGGGTTCCTATGGGTAAGTGGCTTCTAGTATAACTGAGCTATTTAATATTTACATGTGACCATCATTATGGTTTCAGCTCCTCTTGCAAAGCTGAAATAAGGTGTCTGAATAGTCTACAGAGAGCTTTTAGAGGGTTTTTTTCTTTGGTTGCCTTGTCTAAAGGAAGTTGGAATTGGTTACAGTTGAATTTCTTCTTACCTTTTATTTCCCAGCAGTGCTGTATTTGCGTAAGACTTCTCCATCTTAACAGATTTAGAGTTTAGTTAACTTTAATGTTACTGCTATAAAGGTGGAGAGCCGACTACCTGCAGCGCCCGGGAGAGCCGGGTTCCTCCGCCCGGGCCCAGCCATGGGAGGAAGGAGGAGGCTGGTTTGGGAGGGTGTGTGGGGCTGGGGAAGCTCCAGCTGATGCAAGCGAGAGCTGTGCCGCCTGCTCAGCGGGTTCCTGACGGCGTGGTGGGTGTGTGGAGCCGGGGCTGCCCTCAACTAGGGCGTCCAGCGGAGAGGGGAGCGCGCGGAGCCGTCCCCAAGGCTTGTTGGGCCAGGCAAGGTGAGGGGTGCCTGTCCTTGGCATCTCCGGGGAAGGGATCCTGTCACGCTCCTCATAGGAACAGCGAAACTGCTTCACGTAGGTTTGGCTGTGATTCTGGGCATAAAGCAATTAACTTGAATTAAACTTCAGGAGAAAATAAAACAAGGAAACAAAAAACAAAAATGAAGAATAATACAAGAAATAGAGATAGAGAAACAAAACACAAAAATGAAGAATAATACAAGAAATAGAGATAGAGAAACAAAACACAAAAATGAAGAATAATACAAGAAATAGAGATAGAGGGCAAAGAGTAAATATTTCATTTTTGAGTTAATTTTTGGTAATAAGAACTTTTTCTCTTAAAGTTCATTATACCCTTGCCTGGCCTAGCTATTGGGTTTTTTGGGCTTATGCTATGACACCTGCAAAACCAGAATTATGATAGGGTCCTCAAAACCTCTAATCTGATCTTTTGTATGGAGTTAAATGAAGATGCTTAATTGCCTGGATACCTTTTTAACAAGGGTCATAGTTCACAGGTATTAATACCTGGATTGCTCTGCACCCCTGCAATGTACATCGCAGGGCTCCTGTAAGTGGAGGATTTAGGCAGCCTGGGCAGGGTGCTGCTGGAGCGCCTCTGGAGTGGACTCTTTGGCATTTATTAAGAAGTTGGGGATAAACCTCTGTCTTGAGGAAAAGTCCAGGAGAAAATTACAGCTATAGAAAAATATTTAGAAGGATTTGGCTCATTAAGTATCAGCAACACTTTTTTCAGGAATACCTGAATGTTTTTAAAAAAAAAAAAAAAAAAAAAAAAGTGTAAGCTTAATAGAGGGCTGTTCTTTCCCTCAGGGTAAACAAGCTTCTCATCTCTTGCAGTCATGAGCAAGCACAAGCTCTAATGAAGTTCAGGAAATCTGTATGGGCAGAGATATATGTCTGTTCCTTTAGCTAGTATTTTGTTTCTGAAAAGATTCAGTGGATTGCCAAACTGGACACTGATTGTAATGTTTTTCTGGGATCTGCGATGATCTTATTTTCCTTGTCCCTTTGACTCTGTTGCCTGTAGTGCTGTTTTGTAGGAAAAGCAGTTAAAATAGTCTGATAGTCTTAAATGAAATTATTCTGGCCAGTAAGTGTTCAGACTGCAAGTGAGACTGGAAACAAGGGCTCCATGAAGTTTACCATCTTTGCCTTTTCTTCCTATGGCTCTCTGACCATAAACTTCAATCTCTAATCTTACATATCCTCATGAAACTTAGGGAGCTGCTAATATTCTGCTCAGATCAATACCAAAGAAAATATTTCTGGAAGAAATACTATGCATGTGTCAGTCTATATATGAAATGCAGTGATGCTACTAGTCCCTCACAGTGACTTTTGTCTTTCATCTAGTATCTACTATCAGGGTGGTGCTTCCCTCTTTCTTTTGAAGCTTTATCTTTGAGAGCCAAAATGTCTAGAATGGTTTAACACTGCATGTGGCACTGTGGGTCTGTGTAAAATGCAAAGGCTTGAACAGCTTTGCTTACAATTGCTTGTTTGACAAGCTGTTGGAAAAGAGCAAATAATGCATATGGTTTCCATTCTACATGCTATGAAAAATTATTATTCATTGAGATTACAGTACAGTGAAATGAAAATGTGTATATATATAGTCACTTCTTCAAGGACTCCTGATAGCAATTAAAAAAAAGTGCAAGCATAGCTAATTATACAAAAAAGCCCCCCGATATATTTAGCTAATTATAAAATAAATGCCCCATCTAATATATAGTTAGTGGGGTCCTGCAACTGCACTGCTTTATAATGTGGCTCTATATTCATTCCAATTGTTTCAGCTTGTTTTTTGTTGCAATTTTCGACTAGATAGTTCAATGAAGACACTGTAGTTTACAGCAGTGAATGCTGCTTATGTGTATCATGGGTTTAATAATAACTTAAGATAATCCTTCTGGCTTTAACCAGAATAATCTGTTTCAGCATCTTAGTTTCTTTTTATTAAGAGTTGCAGCCCTCTACATGATACCCTGTTTCAACAGCATTTTTAGAAACTCTGCCCTGCATTATTCTTGGAGAATGTAGGGACTAATAAAAAAGGTGCTGAAATTAAAAAAAAAAAAAAAAAAGTGACTTATTCCTTCAAAATACAAATTCTTTGCTTGTAGCCTCCTGGTCAGTTTACCATGTTTGGCCTAGGAGCCTAGACTAATAGCCTCTTTTATTTGCCAAAAATTAATGGGAAGCTACTAAGAAACCCTTTCCTCTCATTTCACTCTAAAAGCATGAGCAACATCTAGATTGATGAAAACTTCTCTTTCTGTAGAGGGAGATCCTGACTTTCAGGGAAGTATTCTGGTTGTATTTAGGAAGCTCAGGTATCAGGAATTTCTTCACATACTGTGTGTGCTTGGGAATGAGTCTGGCTCCAATTCTTGGACACCAGTGTTCCCCTGTGAAAAGCCAATGAATGTCCTGAACAAGCAAATATGTTTAGCTGTGGTGGCCTAAACTTTGTAAAAATCAGCTGTTCGTCTGTTGCTCAAAACTACAGCCTCCTACGCAAGGTTCCTATTCCTACCCAAAGGCTTTAGTGAAGATGCTTGAACCAACTGTGGACAAGAAGAAAGGCCTAGTGAACCATGTCTGACGTGATTTAAGGTCTTATATAGCGGGGTCCAGCCCGACCTGTGCAGATACAGGCTGTTGCGTTTGCTGAAGTTTCCCCTGACACCATTCCAAGCTGTATTCAAGCACTCTGCAGTGATCATGAACCTAGCAGTTGTGAAGCACTTCTTAAAATGACATGAGAAACTTAAGGAGTTACATTTATACCATCAGGTATTAGTGTATTGCTATGTTTATCTCCACAGTTAAGTTCTTATTTTACTACTTGATGTCTCTAGCAGTGAAAAAGGTAGTGTCTAAGAGTTTACAACCCAAACCAACAAGGGGTTGATAAAAGAAGAAAGAAATATCTTTACGCCTTTTTTTTTTCCCCTCCTGATTTGTCTTTTAGATTATGAGCTTGCTAGGGTTCATGTCTGTGCTTGGTTTGTAGAAAGCATGGCACAACTGATGCTCTAAAAAGTAATGCTTAAAATTGGGGTGAGGCATGGAGTAATGACAGGGTGTAGTCTCTCTTTCGTAAAGTGGCTATATGGAGGAAAAACAGAGAAACTGATGAGAAAATAACAGGTAAATGAAGGGTTCAGACTGTAAGACTTATTTATAGAGTGCTCTAAATGATCAAGTGGCTCCTTGGTAGTTTCTACTTTGCTCTATATTTTCTTCTGTGATCGTAGAGAAGGGAGGAATATTTTGCACTATCTGATGTTGCCTATTTGAGAAGCGTCATGCTTTTGCATTTGCTCTGGAGTCTGCTCATTGCATTTCCTTGAAATCAGCAAGGTTTGTGCAGGTCACTAATCTCAGATAATTAGTTCTGGAATTAAGCCAGCTAAAGGCCAGCTCTTCTTTCTCCTCAAGTAAGTGAGCAGTGCAGCTTGACGGGGGAGGGAGGGATTTGGTGATTTGCACTGTAATGTTTGTTTCTAGGGAGTGTAGCTGGGACAGGTTATGTAACAGAAACCTGGCGCATGAGGCTTGGAAAAGATCTTGCCACCCCAATGAGATATTGATTATAGTCAATAATTTTTTGAGAGGCATTAAGGGGCAAGAGACAACTGTGGTATAAGTTGGGTAAAAATAATGGGACAGCCGGGTTTCATTTCAGTTTAAGTGCACCTGAAATGCAACCATTTATCTGAATTATATCCAGAATTATGAATCAAATTTTTTAAAAAGCAGGCTTTATTTCCAAAATCCAGGCTCGTAGAAACTGATTTTTTAATAATATTCCTATATTCTGGCAAAACTGGTGGTGTCATAAATCAAAGGACATCACTCGGCACGCAGGTAGGAGTAGCTTTGTGGGTGATGATCACCTACAACAAAAATTTGAATTCTTAGATTCAAATTAGTGATTTGGTCTTCATGACTGGACTCCTCTGCAAACATGTCCACCTTGCCGATGGACATGTGCTATACTGTGCTCTAGAGCATGACCAGAGCTTGTGCTTTAGCTTTGTTTTGACGTGGGAAGGGGGTACATAGCAGGTCTTTTACTTCCAGAGAGAGCCTGTATTTGAATATGTTTGAGTTTGTGTCTGAGCTTTATTTTTAGAATTACCATAAACTCTTAAATTCTATTCAGTTTGGATTAATTTATAACTCTTCTGAAAATCTCTTGGGCTTCAAAAGCCAAAAACTGCAACTCTAGAACAAGAAGGTTGTTTTCTGAAAATAGCAACCAAGACAGCCCATGACTGGTTGGGGCAAGCGCTTGTTTGTTTTTGTAGCAAAAAGTCCTCATAAATCATTCTGTTGGCAGATGAAATCATGTCTTCAGGTACTTGTAAAGATGACAAAAATTCTAAGATTGCAACAGAGATGAAGAAAATGTGCATAAAACTTTCTATTAATGATCCAACAGTTTTTCATTACTCTCTATATAATGGATCTTAAATCTGTTTACCTACTTTTTGTATGATGGGTGCATCTCCACTGACTTGGGCTTTAAGTTTTTGTTACTCAGTGATGATGTGATATATGCTGTATCAATCTTTTTTCCCCTCCTCATGAATCATTTAATTATAGTAATTAATATCTTGGGAGAAAATGTAATGAGGTTAGAGGTTCTGTCATCTAAGGACCTTCATTGGGTTCTGTTATATCACTTTAAAAGCATTTATGGGTAATAAATGATTCTAATAGAAAATAACAAATGACTACTTAGTAGGATAAGCAGATGATGCAGTATTTAATATATCTACAGTGTAGACTTCAGAGCCTCTGTGACACTTGAGGTAGGGCTGGCATGTGCAGTTTTCTGTATGCCACTCTTTGCTCACCCCAGAACAGGGGGTCAGAGCTTTATGTTGGACCAGACAAGCGTAGCTCTCATTTCCAGTCTTTCAGTTCTGTGAGAACAATCATTTCTTGGTAGCCTG